TCATTCCAAATTTTACGATCCAGAGACTCGCTTTATTAGTCTCGGGTTAATAAACGATCAATAATATATAGACTTCCTTGGAGCCTATTCTCTTTTCATTTTCCCCGGGCATTTCGCCAGCAATTACACTCATTTTCTTTTAGTGCAATTTTAATTTTATTGATTTCAATTTTCATTCATTGTCGAATAGATTTAATTAAGGGAGAGTTATGATTATTTAGGATTTTTTATTTAAATTTTTTTAAAAATTTTTTATCATTGTTGGAATTTAAAAAAAAAATTGTAATTGAATTTCGAGCAGGAAATTCGTAATTTCGATCACCAGAGTGTTTAGATAATTTCTGCCTAAAACTATTTCGGTAAAATTTAATAGTTTTCATGAAAGCTGTGTTTCTTTATTGTCCGCGATTCCTCTTTTTAAATTTTACATTTTCGTATAATGATTATTCTAAATTTGTCTTCTTTATAAACTCCCGCTAATTATGATTGCTTTGGTTCTCCTGCCAAATTTCCCAGCGATTCTCGTTTCAAAATCAATTTTATTTTCCGATTCCTATTACTTTATATTATTATTATTATTATTTTTATTAAAAAATGAGTTTGAATAAAAAAATTAAATAACGATAAAAATAATAAAATATTAATAATAATATAATCATAAAGTGCAGGAAAAATTTTCATCGGACGAAAATATCCGAAAACGCAATATTTACTTTAGAGCTGCAACCATATTAGTGCGGATAACATGTTCCACCGGATTGTTTTGTTTTTGTAATGTTACTGAAAGCTCCCAAACGTTTTGTATTCCAATTTATGTGATGCATCTGTCTTCCCCGGGTTTTAAAATAGTTGCATATAGACATAATTTTGAATATAATGTGACATTTATTGGTACTTTCTTTTTTTAAAGACTTATTGCCGATAATACCCATAAAGTTTTTTCAGAAATCAGTTTAGACAACTTTTTGACACAATCCTAATTGTCTAATTTAAAAAGAAAAATTTATTTCGAGCATTCTACTTTTCTTCGGCGATGTAAATAATCTGTAAATACCCCTGGTAAATTTATTGGCTCTCTAAATTTGTACTTTTGTAAAAAGAAGGTTCACTAATTTCTATTAGTTAAAATTTCTATACTGATTTTAAATTTCAATTTCTATTTATTTTTAGTTAAAATCTTATTAAAATAAGAAATAATAAGTAAATAGAAATAATAATAATTAGTGGATTTATTACTTATTCGAAAGATTTATTTTTCTACTTATTTACTTTTTTTTTATTTATTTAGAAAATAGAAACATTTTTTTTTTCTTGGCGTAGGACTAATTAGGAAAAAAAAGAACAACAATAGTGCAGTATATTTATAATCGAAATTAAAAGTTCTTCAAGCATCTGTTTTATGTTCGATTGGAATATAAAATTGGTACAATTAGGGTAATGGAGGGTGGAGAGATTGTTGGCAAAAGTCGATAGCAATGTGTGGTAATACCGGAAAGATAAATTGATCGAAAGTTTTCGTGAATAAAGGAAAAGAGAAGGAGAGTATCTCTCTTTTCTCTTTTTTTCTCTCCTCTTTTTTTCTCTTAACCAGGGAAACACCGAAAATAAGCCAGGAATTTTATACGAAACTGAGAATTTTTTGACCGAATTAAAAAAAGTTTTATTACTTTAATTTGTTTTTAAAAAATCGCTTTTTATTTCAATTTTAATAGAAATTTATACTCTAAATTTTAATTAGTTAAAAATAATTAATTTGTTTAAAAAAATTAGTCACTGATTCAAAAAGATAAATTTAAAAAAAAAATGATTGAATTAATAGGAATTTTGTGAAATTCAACTGAAAATAATTAAAAATTGTTAACTTCTTCAAATTTAATATTTAATCACCGAATGATAAATTCACTTCCTTCAATTGAAAATAATTAAATTTGTTAAAGAATTTCAAAAACTTTTCAAAAAATCGAATTTTCAAAGTATTTTAATTTAATAATTGATAAATAATTGAATTTTATAAAGCAGAGAGAAAAAAAGACAAAAGAGAGAAAGGAGAGGAGAGAGAAAAGAAAGAAGGGAGAAAAAAATAAGAAAGAGAAGAGAAAGAAGAGAAAAAAATAAAAGAGGAAAGAGAGAAAGAAGAGAAGAGAAGAGAAGGAGAAAAGAAAAGAGCAAAGACACAGAAGAAAGAGGAAAGATGGTTAAAATGTACGACAAACATTAATATAATGTAGAAGTAGTGTAGAAAAAGAAGATTTAGTCATGTTGCTCTATTTCTGTATTTTGTCCTCAAAGATTTACTCTCTGACGTTACGCTAAGCTCGTTTGGTCACACTGGTAGCAAAGTGCAGTTGTACACGGTTAAGCTAAAATAGAATGGCACGCACATCAAACAAAATTACAAAACGAACGGGCAGCTGGTCCTGCTTTCCAGTAAGCGCGGCCATCGGCATTTACCACGGATGATGATGATGCTAGGGGAAATCCGTCTCTTTGAAATTCTCTCTCCTCAACAAGAAAACGTCAAGACAAAACTCCAAGAGCTAATGCACCGGCGGCCAGAATTAGACATGAAGGGTTAAAAAAAAGAAAAAGACAAATATCCAAACGAGAAAAAAAAGAAGAAGTTGTCAAGAAAGTTTGAAAATAGAATAAATGTTTGTTGTAGACGACAAAGAAAGGTGAATTGGAAAAAAAATGACGAGACAAATGGATGAGAATGTCAAGTTGAAAAATTGTGGCAAAATAAAAAATGAGAATTGATTATTGTGTCCCTTTTACACTTCGAAAGGGGGAATAATAATAATAATTAGAGGAAATTTAAATTTAGAAATTTTCAGAAGAGGTATTAGGAAACAATTTTTATTTTATATTAAACAATCTTTTAATATCCAAGAGCGAGTTCTATTCGCATTCTACTAACCAATATCCTAAATTAAAAAAAAGATCTTCGAGTAAAATAATTCTCAAAAAATAGGGAAAATAATTCTCAAAAAGTAGGAAAAATCATTCTCAAAAAGTAGGGAAAATCATTCAGAAAGAGAATCGAACAGTTTTAAACCATTAAAATCAGTGATTCATTCAAAAAAAAAATCAATTATACTAATAAAAATTTCGTGTTTTGTTTATAGAACAGTACTTTCTCGAATCATGCCAAACAGAACCATTCTCCTTTAAAATAGCCTCCCCCAAAAAAAGTGTACATTCAAAAAAAAAAAAAAAAAGTGTCAAATCATTCCGAAATTGCATCAAAACACACATTATAAACGCAAATAATTTTCAACCGCAAAGAAATTTTCGCCCCACAGAGAAAATCCCTCCCCAAGTGTCAAGTTTAATGTCTCCAAAGACCCTGAAAAGAAACACGACGATGAGTGACATCCATGGCTTGGCATCTCTCAAGAATAGTCATCATTCCTCAAGGAGACTCGACTAGTTGGCCCGAATCATGACAGATTAAATACTTGTAACAAAAGAAGAAGAAGAAAAAGAAAACACCAAATTTCTCAAAATAGAAAAATCGACAATTTTTCAACTTTAAAATTTGATTCAAAAAAATTACAGAAGTAAATTTTTTTTTTTGGAGAAAGTTCCACAAAAAAAGGATTTTAGGGAGCAAATTCCACAAGAAATTGTTTTTGGTGCAAAATTTTACAAGAAACTATTTTTGATAATAAATTTCGCAATAAGGTTCTTTTAGAAGAAAATATGAATAAAAATTCAGAGGTTATTTGAAAATTAACAAACAGTCATGAAAGGAAAGGAATGGACGATGGGAAAATTGGTTGAAAATTCATTGACGATGGAAAAGGGATTGAATAGGTGAGAATAATGTGTAGAGTAAGAAGAGAGATTTTGTGTTTGGTTGAGGGATTAAGGAGATGCCTCCTTGGAGGTCATCGAAATTCCCTATTATCATCATCAACAGTGTGTTCCTCGTCGACTAGCTGAGAATCGAAGTCGACGAGGGAGGAAGAAAAAAAGGGGACGAAAGAGTGTGTTCCTCGTCGACTAGTTGGGAATTTAAGTCGACTAGCTGAATATCAAAGTCAACCAACGGAATATCAAAGTTAATCAACTGAATATCAAAGTTTTCCATCAACCAGTTGAATATCAAAGTTAACTAGTTGAATATCAAAGTCAACCAGCTGAATATCAAAGTTATTTAGTTGAATATCAAAGTCAACCAGCTGAATATCAAAGTCAACCAACTGAATATCAAAGTCAACCAACTGACTATCAAAGTTAACTAGTTGAAAATCAAAGTTGACCAACTGAATATCAAAGTTTTCCATCAACCAGTTGAATATCAAAGTTAACTAGTTGAATATCAAAGTCAACCAGCTGAATATCAAAGTTATTTAGTTGAATATCAAAGTCAACTAACTGAATATTAAAGTTAACTAGTTTTCCATCAACCAGCTGAATATCAAAGTCAACCAACTGAATATCAAAGTTAACTAGTTGAATATCAAAGTTGACCAACTGAATATAAAAGTCAACCAACTGAATATCAAAGTTATTTAGTTGAATATCAAAGTCAACCAACTGAATATCAAAGTTAACTAGTTTTCCATCAACCAACTGAATATCAAAGTTAACTAGTTGAATATCAAAGTTGACCAACTGAATATAAAAGTCAACCAACTGAATATCAAAGTCATCCAACTGAATATCAAAGTTAACTATTTTTCCATCAACCAGCTGAATATCAAAATTGACCAACTGAATATCAAAGTTAACTACTTTTCCATCAACCAGCTGAATATCAAAGTTAACTAATTGAGAATTAAAATCGACCAGCCGAATATCAAAGTCAACCAACTGAATATCAAAGTTAACTAGTTGAGAGTGAAAATCGACGAGGGAGAAGCAGAAAAAGAAAAGAAGATACAGAACAAGAGAAAGAGCAACAGAAATAAAAAAAGAAAAGAAGAAATAGAAGAAGAAATAGAAGAAGAGACAGAAGACACACAAAAAAGAGGATCGTGAGATGACAAAGGTCAGCAATTAAAATGTTGGACATATTTCGCGGTCTGAAGAGTCTAATAAAGGTCTCGCATATTCACATTGACACGGCCGTATTCCGTTTGCATTACAGTTTAACAGTGATATTGTTGATTGGCTTTTCATTGATTGTCACCACGCGGCAATACGTTGGCAATCCAATTGACTGTATTCACAGTAAAGACTTGCCCGAGGATGTGCTCAACACCTATTGTTGGATTCACAGTACTTACACGATTACCGCGGCTTACAAGAAGAAGGAAGGGTCGGAGGTGCCTTTCCCTGGGGTCGACAACTCCAAGCTTTATGCGCGCAGCGAGAGGAAGGAGTATAAGTACTATCAGTGGGTCTGCTTCATGCTCTTTATACAGGTAAAAATCATTTTTCAACACATTTCAAAATTGCCGCCCTGCTTCTTTTATTGCATCTTTCTTCGGCGCGCAGCAGGAGAAAAACATTATCTCACTGTGCACTCCCTTTCTTCTCTCTCTCTCTCTCTCTGAAGGAAAGGAAGGAAGGGATAAAAATTGTGATTTACGACAATGAGGCTAATAAAATCGAACGTCTTTGGCTTTCAATGGTGAGATTTATTTTCAGAGGGATATGTTTCAATTTGGATTTTTTTTTTGGAGTATAAAGAATATTTTGATTCACTCGCAAAATTATTAAATACACAAAAAATTAAAATTTTCAAAAATTTAAAATTCAATAGCATATAAGAATATTATTATAAAACATGAAGATATCGATCACTCCGAGTCTTCGACTAGGAGTAATCGCTTTCTTCATGTTTTATAATAATTAAAACTTGATAATTTGTTATTGTAACTTCTTCAAAAATTTTCTTCATTTCGATTATTCATTTCTAGAATTTTCAACTTCTTCTTTAAATCAAATTTTTTTAAAATAATTTTTCAAAAAGTTCTTTGAGAATTTTCAAATTCTTTTGTTTACAATTTAATTTTACGAAATTTCGATTATTCTGACATTCTTCAATTAAATATATTAGAAATTAAAAAGTTCAAATAATTAAAAAAAAATTCCACTAAACTTTTTGAAAAAAATCAGGGTGTCTACTATTTTCGTTTAATAAAATTACCGGATATTCCAAAATTTTTATTAGAGTTTTTGTGAATAATTAAATTCCTTTGATGAGTTTCTTTAAATTTTTCGAATATTCTTTAATAATTTTAATTAAAAATTTGGAAAATAATTGAATTAAACAAAGAATTTTTTCAATTTTTTTAAATAATCTTTTCTGTTCTTAATTATAATTGAAAATTTGATTAATTCAATTTTATTAAAATGTATTGATACTAATTGAATTTCTGCAAAGAATTTTACTAATTATAAAAATAATTGAATCCTTCAAAAGAATCTTATTATTTATAAAAATTATTCAATGTTTGCGTAGAATCGTATTAAAATTTTTGAAAATAATTGAATTGTGGTAAACAATTTAATTATTTATAAAAATAATTGAAATTTTGAGGAGAATTTAAAAAAATTTTTAAACATTACTGAATTTCTGCGAAAATTTTTATTACTTTTGAAAAAAATTACATTATTTTTTAGAATTTTATGGAAATTTATGAAAATAATTGAATAAATAAAACTTAATAAAAGTTTTAAGAATAAATTCATTTTTCAAGAAATGTGATTAAAATTATATTAAAAATAATTGAAATTCTGCCAAGAATTATATTATTTTTGAAAATAATTGAATTCTTGAGACGAATTTTATTAAAATTTCTTTTTAAATAATTGAATTCGTTTATGAAATTTTATTGAAATAGTAGACATTGAAAATAATTGAATTTTGACAAATTTTTGAAATTAATTAAATTTTTATAAAGAATTTAATTAAAATTGTTTTAAAAATAATTGAATTTTTGTGATGATTATTGTTATTTATTTATGGAAATAATTGACTTACTCCGAATAATTGTATTATTAATGAAAATAATTAAATCCCAGAAAAGAATTTAAAAATTTATGAAAATAATTGAATATTTGTGTAGAAATATTATTAAAATTTCTGTTTAATAATTGAATTCATTTGGGATATTTTATTAAAATAGTAGAATATTGAAAATCATTGAATTAAGAAAAATTCTTGAAAATAATTTGAATTTTGCCATGAATTTTATTAAAATTTTTGAAAATAATTGAATTTTATTACTTTTTAAAAATAATTGAATTCTTCTGATGAATAATATTTTTCATGAAAATAATTAAATTTTGCATTGAATTTTATTAAAATTCCTGAAAATAATTGAATTTTGTCGAACAAGAATTTTGCTATTCATTTATAAAGATAATTGAAATGTTGACGACAATTTTTTTTTAATTTTTGAAAATAATTGAATTTCTAGAAAGAATTTTCATATTTATTCAAATAGTGGAATTCTTTCGAAGAATTGCGTTAAAATTTTTCTAATTAAAAAAATTTTGTTCTTTAATAGAATTAAGTTATTTAAAATAAATTTTTTCTATTTCTGACAATAATTTATTTTATAAATTTTATATAAATTCTTATAAATTTTAAACATTTAATTTTAATTTTATTTTTAAGTTTTTCCAGTGCTTTTAATAAAAATCCCTGACTTTCTCCTGATTTCCCTGACCAATTCTATTTTCCCTGACTTTTCCCTGAATTCCCGTTCATCACTAAAAAAAAATCATAAACGGTTCATTGTCTTCCGACGCACAATCGAACCATTTACACCGAATCACCAAAAGAAATAATATCTCATTAAACAGAAAATTATCCTCCTCTTCCCCCCTAAAATTTCAATTTAGAAAAAATAAATCTTTTTCCCAATTTAAAGTAGAAGAAAAAAATTCCACACGATATGAGAGATGATACGGAGATAATTCGTGGAACAAAGGATCTTTGAAACACTCGTTAATCGGAGGTCAGACAAAATTAGTAAACCAATTGAAAAGTGGATCAATGTCAGGGATTATTAATTTCCTTTTACTTCTTCTTCTAATTTTTTTTTTGTTATCTAATTAATCTCACATTGTGAGGGAACAAAAAAGAATGAAGACCTGTTAAATTGTATATATAAGTTTTAAGTGATGAACGAGTTTTTTTTTTGTAATGAAAATCTAAAACGGAAGTAAAGAGTTTGATATAGATCATGCGATAAATCTATAAAGGTTAGATACCGTTAGAAATCCCTGGCGGTTCCTTCGAGCGCGGACGTTGGAATGACTCTCGAGGAAGTGCGAGCAAAATGCCTTTTGCTCGACCGACCGCCTGAGAAAAAAGAAAAACTCGAGCGACTATGAAGTTTTTACCTTTCACGTGAACAACATACCTGTAGGTAAAGGTACATGAAGGTGGATATAATTTTACCACAACCATAAGCAATGATCAAAATTTATTTTCGATTCCCTCCAGAGGTGATTTTTTTTCATTCGACAAAAATTAGAAAAAAGTTACTAATTATACAAAAGAAACAATAAAAAAATTTTTTTATCCCCTTCTGTTAATTTTTTATGTGACAAAAATTAACAAAAGTTATTAATTAAATATTAGGCAAAGGGAAAAAATTATTTTCAATTCCCTTCTCTGTCAATTTTTTTCTTCACGAAAATTAGTTACTAATAACTAAAATTTTGTTTATTATTTAATATTTTATTTATTATTTAATATTTTATTTATTATTTTATTATTTTGTTTATTATTTATTTATTATCTTGTCCAGTATTTTTATTTTTGTTCAGTAAATTTGAAATATTTCAATGTCAAGTGATTTCGAATAAATAATAATAAAACAACAATAAACATTCATATACACACAGAGAGAAAATGCTAAAGAATGAGAACTTAACAAATCGTTGACAAGAACCGTTAAAACAATAATATTGTTGGCAACTGTTACTATTCTTTCTAATCCTTCAAAGTTTGCAACAGTTTTACTTGAATTCTCAAAATATCCATTTTTTATTTTTAAATAAATAACACAACAAAAATAAATACAAGTTTAAATTTAACTGAGCGCAGACATTTATTTATCAATTTTGCACTATTTTTCATTAACTTTATTTTTATTGTTTTTTCCATATAAACTCTATGCACACATATTTATTTACCGCATTATCATTTAAAATAATTAATTTCTTTCGGAGAAATTTTATACAAATATTTTTAAATAATTAATTTCGTTCATAAATTTTTATGAAAATTGTGTTTCCAATAAACGAATTTCAATGAAAATTTCATTATTTATGAAAATAATTGAATTTTTTCGAAGAATTTTATTAATTTCCTTTTAAAAATTGAATTCTGTTGTAAATTATTTTTATAATTATTTAACAAAAATTTTAATAAAATTCTTGTCAAAATTTCAATTATCTTTATAAATAAAAAAATTCTTCTCTGAAATTCAATTATTTTCAAAAGTAATAAAAATTCTTCGCAGAAATTCTATTATCTTCAATTCAATTATTTTCACAAATTATTTTCACAATTATTTTCACAAAATTATTTTCAAATATTAATAAAAATATTTGTAAGAATTTAATTATTTTCAAAACGTTTAAAAAAATTTTACGCAGAAATTCAATTATTTGACAAAATTAATAAAATTATCAGGAATTCAATTATTTTTTAAAATTAATAAAATTCTTTACAAGAATTCAATTATTTTTAAAAACAATAAAATTTTTGACAGTAATTTTTTTTTATAAATAAATAAAATTCATCACAGGAATTGAATTATTTTTAAAAAATAATTGAACTCTTCGTATGACATCCATTATTTTCGAAAATTCATCAAATTTATCGTAAGAATTCAATTATTTTCAATTATTACTAAAATTCTTCACAAGAAATTCAATTATTTTCAAAAGTAATAAAATTCTTCGCAGAAATTCAATTATCTTCAAAAGTAATAAAATTCTTCGCAAAAATTAAATAATTTTCAGAAATTTGAAATAAAATTCTTCTTATGAATTCAATTATTTTCAAAACGTTTAAAAAAATTTTACGCAGAAATTCAATTATCTGACAAAATTAATAAAATTATTCACAAGAATTCAATTATTTTTTTTAATTAATAAAATTCTTTACAAGAATTCAATTATTTTTAAAAACTTTAAAATTCTTGACAGTAATTTTTTTTTATAAATTAATAAAATTTTTTACAGGAATTGAATTATTTTAAAAAAATAATTGAACTCTTCGCATGACATCAATTATTTTTGAAAATTCATCAAATTTATCGTAAGAATTCAATTATTTTCAATTATTACTAAAATTCTTCTCAAGAAATTCAATTATATTGAAAAATTTTGATTAAATTAATTATAAGAATAGAATTGCTTTCAATACAAAATTTTCTTCGCGGAAGTTTAATTA